TTTTAGTGTCACATGATTATTCAGAAATCATTCTAATGTGATGAGTTGGTGCTCAAGAAACATTTCTTATTATTATCAGTGTTGATTGTTATTTGACTTATTGCATCTTTGTTGAATAAAAGCATTAAAAATAATCCTGAGCTTTTAAATGGTAGTGTATTTGAATAAAAAAAAAGTATTATATATTTCTAAAACTAATTGCCAATGCCAGTAATCTCTAAAATGACCAAATATCAGCCACATAATTGTTTGGCTGATATATTGCTTTATCACTAGATTTGACACAGAGGTTTAATGTTTGTTCTCCTCAGGTCTGTAACACGCAGCTATTACAGAGGGGCAGCAGGGGCTCTTCTCGTGTATGACATCACTAGGTAAAGTCACACTTGTATATCCAGTGCCTCTACAGATATTCATATATTTCTGGATGTTTACCTAGAGCTATACTATGATATGCATTTATAGATCCTTAAGTGTGTTGATTTCTCACGCTTTCTGTCTCCGGATGTTAGTCGAGAAACCTACAACGCTCTGACCAACTGGCTGACAGATGCCAGGATGCTGGCCAGCCAGAACATCGTGATCATACTGTGTGGAAATAAGAAAGATCTGGATGCTGACCGTGAAGTCACCTTTCTGGAGGCCTCACGCTTCGCTCAAGAGAATGGTGCTTATTTCAGACAAGCAGTTCCCGGCTGCTAACAATTGTACTGAATTATAGAGGCACCCAATTGCTTTCAAACGGCTGATAAAAACATCACAATAATCCACATGACCACAGTCCATCAATAAATATCTAGTGAAGGGATACTTCATCAAGATGTTTTTAACTTCAAACCCTTGCTTTTGGCTAAAATACATGTCCTCTATTCATTATATCCTTTAAAGCATGTTTATAGCTCAAACTTGTTTATTGGACAATATATCTGCTTTCATATTGTGATTGTACCACTAGAGGTCACTACAGGATAGTATTACTAACAAACATGAACCAGTAGAGACCCACGACTGGCTGCATTGAGATCACAAGGGCTTTTTCTGAGGCTAAACAGTGATTGGTTATTGGTGCATTACCATTGTGGATATACTGTTTGCTTATAGATCTGTGGCGTTATTGTTAACTGAAATTATAAAAAAATATTTGCATTAATTTAAATAAAGCTAAAATAAAATAAAATATAAATATGAAATAAAAAGAATATATTTGGAAATGTTGCAATGGCAACTAAATTGAATAAAATACTTTAAGTAGAAGTACTAATATGACTAAAGCCAAATAGAAATAAATTAAAGCTAAATAGAAATAAAAAAATTAATACAAATCACAAAAGCACATAAAAATTAAAATGAAAACTGAAAATACTAAAATAAAATCCACATCAAAATATTACTAAATACTATAATAATATATAAATAATTCTAAATAAACACTATTATGGAATATTTTGCAATATATTCACAATCTTAAAAAAAAATTTCGGTGAGTATTATTAAACAAAACAGACGTATTTGTTTATATCTTTGTTTTCAGAGCTCATGTTTTTGGAGACCAGTGCTCTAACAGGGGAGAACGTGGAGGAAGCTTTTGTCCAGTGTGCTCGGAAAATCCTAAACAAAATAGAGTCAGGTACAAAAATACCAGTGCCTCGTGCTGTTACTTATAAGCTTGCAAAAACATTTGAATCAAGCTGCTGTGCTTGTCATTTGGTTGTGTAGGTGAGCTGGACCCGGAGCGGATGGGTTCAGGAATCCAGTACGGAGATGCAGCGTTGCGGCAGCTGCGTTCTCCCAGGCGGGCTCAAGCAGAGAGCGTGCAGGAGTGTGGCTGTTAACACAGATCCCAGACAGCTGACCAACCAGGTGAAGGTCCAGAGGGTTCACTTCCTCTCTCTGCTTGCTTTCAAATCTTTTAAGGTTTCAGAGGTTTTAATATTAGAAGCTGTTCTGAGAGGTTTCAGTACTTTTTTAACATTGTGATGTGCAATCATTTACAGTACAGTATTTTTATTCTTTTATACTAATTTTCTAATTTTTGCTAATACTTTAACCTTGATATCTAAATAGCTCTGATATGAGTGTGACAGTTTAAATGCATGAGGGTGGTAGAGTGCTGTTCTTCCTTCCACTGGCGCTCTGTACCACTCACAACAGCAACATCCACTAAAAATAGATGTGCTGCATTCAGATTTAATCAGATACAGTTGTTCACATTTCTCAGAACGTCATTCCCTGCATATTAGATTTAAGTGTCTTGTTCAGTGTGGTAGTGTTTTCTTTTCTCTTCAGTGTCCTTGTTTTTTTTGTTTTGTTTTATATTTGAATCATATATGAAACTTTTAGTCTTTAGCTGGAATTTTCATTTTTCTCTCACTTTTTCCTCACTATTTTTATTTCTTAAATGATTGCATTTTTCAAACATTGAGTCACTTAAATGTTAACAATGCAAGAATCTAAGGTGATATAAAAAAGAATGCAAAACAATGGGTCTGAAAATACGAACATAACATATTTATGTGGTAATCATTTGTAAACCATTTATTATGTAGATACAGTTGCACTGAATTGAATGAGACATTACACAGATGTATTACACAGTGTTTCTTGAATGAGGCCCAATTTCTCCAATATTCTAATTATTTTGCATTAATTTCAGCTCACTACTAGTTTACCCTTTTTCTCTTCAAAAGGATGTTGTTGGTTTCCCTTTTCATGGTAACACTTTATAATTAGGTTAATGTTAACAAATGCAGTACTTTTACAGCATTTACTAATCTTGATTCACGTTGATTTCTACATAAATTACCATTCAGAAGCTCAAAACCATTTTCAACATTGATAATTATAAGAACTGTTTCTTGAGCAGCAAATCAGCATATTAGAATGATTTCCGAAGGATCGTGTGACACTGAAGACTGGGGTAATGATGCTGAGAATTCAGCTTTGCCATCACAGGAATAAATTATATTTTAAAATGTATTACAATAGAAAACAGTTTTTTTAAATTGAAATAATATTACTGCCTTTATTGTCTTTTTTTATTAAATAAATGCAGCATTGGTGAGTATAAGAGACTTTTTTCAAAAATATTCCAAAATCTTACCAACCCCAAACTTTTGAACAGTACGTACTATGTATACTAATTTAAGGTTGTATGAAAAAAGTATATATTTATAAATGAACCTAGATTATGAAACGCTTTAAAAAGTGTTGTTTCCAAATGTATTATCTAATGGTAATGAACTGAACTGTATTGTAAAGTGATACCAAAATACTTCATGACATCATTTTAGCTTTAGTCAAAGTGTTTTCATAAATTGTCTGTAAAAGGATGTTGATAGCCGCCCCACAGCATCTCTGCTGTATTTGGCATACACTAGCTGGGAGGAGATCTCTTCAAGAAGAGGTGCTATTTTTGTCACTGACACCCACCAAATGCTGCTCAAGTTTGCTTCTGCATGCCTTACGTACAAGTGACGATGACGCAGCACCAGGACACATACACACATACAAATGGCTAAATGTTTCACCTTCTTCCATCCCCTCATGAGGACAAACAAGTCCTTCAAACCCTTTCACCCTCTTATCAGTCAAATGCCACATGAGAGAATAGTGTCAGGGGAATGGATATAATTAACTCCAGATCCTCCCAAATGCTTTCCAAGGTTTCTGAGGGGCCTTATTTGGAATGTGAGCTAGAAATAGAGATTCAAGGTATCTTGAAGCTGCTCCTTCAGTTTGTCGACGAGAAGAAAGGCCTCTGAAAAGACCATCTATATAATTGCCTGCACTTTTTCTCTGTCCTTTGGCCAAGGCAGGTTTTGTGAACACAAGGAGGAGGACATTAGTGGGGAGTTTGACGTATGGCTCATCGTGTTGGAGTGACTGTTTCCCTCACCTTACATTTACTTCTGTTCTGACATGCCGAGGGACCCCCTGTGCTCCAGAAGGCTCCAGAAAAATGTTTACTGTCCCCCTCGGGCCCAAGCCAAGACATCTGTGGTACCCAAAACCCTGAGGGTAGCTAAAAGACCCGGCCCTTGCCCCTGAGAATACTGCACTGAGCCCTTTTCCCGTCTTTCCCTCTTCCATATGTAGATGTTGTGTAGAGAAGAGTTTCTATTATCACCGTGGAGCATGTTTCATGGTTGCAGTACTACGACATATTCATAAATGACTATATACAGCAAACTGTATATATATATATATATAGCTTAGGCATACTGCATCGCTGCTCTATGGCACACGCCTGTAAATCTTATCAATGGAGTTTATCGTACATTATCTTGCTAGCACGTTGTTTGCTTTTTTAATTATTTTTTTTCCATATCTGTTGTATTTTTTGGTTGGTATGTTTTAGGAAAGGATGCTAGAGTATTTCATAAAAGTGGTTTTTGACATTCATGTCAAGAAGACTTTGTTTTTGTATTATAATTTACATTCAAAATGAAAAATTTAAGGGCCAGCGCACACTTACCTTCATATCGCACTGTAGTACATTGTCAGTCTGAACAGCTTCAAAATTAGTGTTACATGCTCTATATTTATTGTAAAGCATTTTTGTGCTGCGGTCCCATTTTTAGGTGTCTGTTGGAATGACACTGATGTGTTTGAACTGATTTCTTTGTTTTCGAAAATAGATAGCTTTTTTTGTAAAATGTATTTTATTATTTTTCTCTACTTGTCCCCAGTTCTTCTTATACATTTTAAATGGACATATCTCAAATAAGCTTGCACCGAAAATGAATGATAAATCATTGTGGGCCTTGCTTCAAAATGCTTGTCATTATGTCTTTATATCAAGCTTTTATGTTTGTAAAAATGGGACAGATTGCCAATAGTCATGCTTAACAATGCACTAAATGGTAGTTGGTTATTCATTTTTCATTAATCTTGTGTCTACACTTTACATTGATCTAAAAATAAATAATGAATTAAAATTATTATTTTTTTTTTTTAAATCTGTAGCACTGATGTAAAGAATTAAGGTCTGATTCAAAACAGACATAATCAAATGTACAATTTAGTTGCTGAATGTAAAATCAGTGTTTGTAAAATCAATGTAATTTGTGTAAAACTTTCTAGACAGCTTTCTTCATGGAAATGCAACAATTTCTTAAAAAAATAAACAATTCATAAAAATCATTCAGTTAAAGTGAATAAGGGGGGCATTGCCAGACATTTAAATTGCTGCATGGATCCGACACATGGATGAGGTCTTGGCAAGCTTGCAGAATCCTGATGTCCAGGAATAGCATGCTGTAATAAGTTGGCAATATAAAAATCTGCCTTGTGCATTAGTGAGAACAGAGTTTCATATTTTACTGCAGCAAACCTGTGAACAAACTATCCTTACCTACAAACAAGATAACTACTTTTATAGCCATAATACACTTATGAAAAAAAAATGTTTTATTTTACTTTAACATACAATTAACAGCAACCTGTTAAAACTGAAAACTGACAATTACTATCAGACTAAGTCCTCATAAAGAAAGTGTTGAGAAAAACTCTTATCTCATATAAACACATCTCACTTTCACAGGCAGTAATCTAAACACTTACATTTTAATTTGAATCAAAACGGCTTCCATAACAGTAGAATGGATATTCATCATATTAATGTAGCTCATATACATTATGGCTTCATTATTCTTACACTAAAACCAACACTATTCACATAGTACATGCCATAAATCACTATGAAGATGTGGGGAACAAAAATACCTGTACATTTGTTCAGAGATGCTGAACTAAAATACAGTCAAAATTAGTTCAATACCCTTATATAAATAAGTGTACAAATATCCCAATATCATTATTTCTCAATAATAAATTACATAAAATACAACAAGAAATACCTGAGTGCTACTAAAAAACAAATAGCATCACACTGAATGATAGTTATGCTTGATGATGAACAGCTGGAATTGCTTTTGTTGTATATGATCTCGTTCAAAAATGATTTGTCATTTTGCTGTGAGTTTCATGCATCAGATAACAGTGACTTTTTACATTATGTAATGATATTACTGTTCTTATATGATACCACATGGAATACACCATTAGTGTGAATATACAAGTAAAATAAAATACATCTAATTTCAAAGAAAGCAGATATTAATATAACAGATCAACTGCCAATGTGAGATTAAGTGTTGATTAATTAACACTTTACAAAGATCCATGTTGGCGCAAATGATTTCTGTAAAGTACAAAACAGATTTCTTTACATGATTAAACCTAACGATTAACACAATGTAGATAATACACAACATCACAATACATGTCTATAATTGTCTGACAGTTACTGAACACTTTTAAGTAACTGGCTAAGAGTGTAAAGAGACACTGGTAAATCTCATGGCCTGTAAATCTACGTGACCTACAAAAATCATGCAACAAGGCATGTGATTGTTTGACAATTTGCTCTGCAGCATCAATGGATTGTGTTTTCATGTTTGATATGTACCAATAAATGCAACATATCCATGGTGTAAATAAAACCCTAAAAAACCTTGAGTTATAATCTGTTTGATTCATTGTGGCCCATTCTGGAAGACAGGAAGTGAGCTGAACAGATGCGCCAGTCATCATGTGAAGGGTTTTGGGTCGTTTAGCCTGAGAGGTTTAGATAAGGATTTCAGAAAGCAGTACTAGTGAGAACGAGCTGAAAAGCAGCGCATGTACTCCGTCATCCAGGGGTTGAAATCAGGGACAATCTTATTTCTGTTCTTTTCGAAGTCAGCAGATCTGGCTCTTTGTTTGTCAAATCTCTTCATCTGTTTTTCCACTTCCCGTCTGGTTTTTGCTCGCAACGCTGAATCATGGATCTACACAGAAGAAACACTGCATGAAGTATGCATGAATAACGATAAGCAAATGAGTACTTAAAGGGATAGTTCACCCAAATGTGAAAATTCTGCAAGTAATTATTACTCAGCTTCATGTCGTTCCAAACCCGTAAGAACATCGCTCATCTTCAGAACACAAATTAAGATATTTTGGATGAAATCCGAGAGCTTTCTGACCCGGCATAGACAGCAACACAACAACCATGTTCAAGGCCCAGAAAGGTAGTAAGGACATCGTTAAAATAGTTCAAGTGACATCAGTGGTTCAACGGTTACGCAAATAATTTTTGTGCACAAAGAAAACAAAAATAATGACTTTATTCAACAATTTCTTCTCTTCCGTGTCAGTCTTTGACGGGCATTCAAAGATTAGTTTTTATTAAAAATTAGTTCCACAACACATGCATGTGCATTCCTTTGCCTTTTATTAATGTCAACACCTACCCCAACCCTAAACCTACCTTTAATACAGTAATTATTATAAATATAAATACAGTAATTATTGTTGTTCAGCACAACAAAAATTATGCAATATTGATGTGCGTATGACCAGTAAGCCCTGGTGGCTGTAGCTGTATCCCTTCTAGCCCTAACCTAAACAAGCTGCATCCAGGTTCTATGTCAGAACACCGGCTCCTGTGTCAGCAGCACCACACGCATATGTCGTGGTACTTTCAAGAATGCACATCAAAGATTGACATGAAAGAGAATAAATTGTTGAATAAAGTCGTTATTTTAGTTTTCTTTGCGCACAAAAATGAGAGCCGATCCTCCCTATACGCAAAGTACGCAAGCTGCTTAGGGCCCCCGAAACACCAGGGGGCCCCCTTGCTCTCAAAGATGATTTAATTTTAGTTTCGTTATTGAATTTGAATTTTTGTCATTTCTTTTAATGCGGTGCACTGTCGCCCTTTCTACGTAAAAATCAGTCAAATCATGTAACGTGACTGTCATACATTGTCTTACTCGAGACAAAAAAAAAAACGAGTTGAAAGCGTACCGAGCCAAATGCTTTCCGTGAACACGGACAAAGGCAAAGGGAAAGTCGTGGCCTAATGGTTAGAGAGTCGGACTCATAACCCAAAGGTTGTGGGTTTGAGTCTCGTACCAGCAGGGATTGTTTTGCGTAGGGCCCCCAGAAGTCTAGGATCGACACTGACAAAAATGATTCTTGTAACAGTTGAACCACTGATGTCACATGAACTATTTTAATGATGTCCTTACTACCTTTCTGCGCCTTGAACGTGGTAGTTGCATTGCTATCTATGTAGGGTCATAATGCTCTCGGATATCATCAAAAAAATATTCATTTGTGTTCTGAAGATGAACGAAGGTCTTACAGGTTTGGAACGACATGAGGGTGAGTAATTAATGACAGAATTTTCTTTTTTGGGTGAACTATTTTTTCCCAGTAGTTTTCTTACTGGTCAATGCTCTCTTATGATATGGTGTGCTTCCTGAAAGGATCCTCACCTCTGCAGTTGATGCTGCAGGTCCAACATTATGGGTTTTCTTGGAAGCCATATCTGTCTGCCTCTCTCCTGCACCATACAGGGCAAAAGGGTGACGGTTCTCTTTTTCAGGGTCTTTGATGGCATGAGGCTTGACTTTTGATCTTGTATACTTGTGTGAGGAGCGGCGTTTGCTCTTTGGTGTGTTGAGGATATGCGTGTCAGTTTCTGGGTTGAGAGCAGGAGAGCTTTCTCTGGCTCTTTCTTCCTCCCCCTCTTGATGGCTTTGCTCAGCTACTCTGGTAACAAGCTCTGTTGATAGAAGATAGAGATCTGCATGGAATTTGACATTTTGAATAGTGTTTTAATACAGTAGTTTTCATTAAGTACCACAATTTACTGTGTCTTTATGCTTTGCCATTTAGTTTTCCATTGTGGTTTGAACACAAACTATGCTAAATTGTGCCAGTGTTCATATTTCAACAAGGTAATGTGATCAGGTTCTCTAATATAAATGAGGTTTAGAATAAGCTGACAATTCTCTCTGTATGACATAAAGTGTTTATGACACTATAGCTGTAAAATCAATAAAAAATATAAATCATATTATTATTACTACTATAAATATTAATGTTAAATGTAAAACAGAAATTCACATAAATATTTTTTAAATGTCAGTGCAAGTAAATATATATATATTAGAAAAACTATTCATTTTATATTATCAGATTTTTTTTAGTTTAAATTTTAGTTATTTTGTTATGTACTTTTGTCAATTTTATTATTTTTAATATATATTTCTATTTAGCTTTAAATTTAGTTTCAGTAATTTAATTACTGAAATCAATAACTTTTTCAGTTCCTGAGGCAATTTACATTCAGGTTTTTAAAATTTACGTTTTGTTCTAATACTTGTATTTTAGATTATTATTTATTCAGATTTATTTCAATTAACGAAAACTAAGATTTAGTTCACAATAACATCACTAGTCTAGAATACAAACTATTTTATAAGAGATATAATATAAAAGATAAACAATAGAAGATGACAGCCTGTAGTTTAGGACTTACTGGTGTCTGCAGTATCTTCTGCCTGTGGTTTTGTTTCAGCTGCAGGTTCTGGTGTCACACATGCAGATCTTTCTGGTTTCTCATCATGGAGCCTCTCAGGTTCAACTTTATTCTGACTTAGAGGAGTAGATTTACCACTGGAGCCTGTCTCGCTCCCCCATTCTCCCCAAAACCAGGGGTTGTGCGCTTGCTCCAACAGCCGTCTTGACAGTCTGTACTTCAGCAAATCCTCATAACATTTTGCATAAGTGTCCCATTTCGGATCCTTAAATTTCTTCATGTATTCGGACCTAATTCGCTTCGTCACCATATTTCACTATCGTTCGACTGCAGAAAAATAGAGAAATTGTACATTATATAGCGAAGTAGCCTACTGTAACTGAATTATGCAATTCCGAGTCTATTCCGAACCCGCCCACCTCTCGCGCCAGACATTTAAACCAAATCACTATGGCAACAGAATTCTAATAGGCAAATGAAAGCCAATCGCTGGCCAGCAGTGAATGGCGCTCCTTCGACACGCCCCCTTCATTTACACGCCTACTTAAACCATGGCGTCATCTCGGAGCTCTCTGAATCTCTTAACGCATTTGCATATTAGGGTTTGTTAGCTGACACTAAACATAATTGTGGACTTAACTAATACAGTTCACTAATCCAAAACACACGAATAAGAGAAAGACATTAGTAAATTATTATACGAATCATATATAATGTGTTGCCATCGACAATATCCTGAACAGAGAACGAAAGAGCTTTATACTGCGAGTAGTCAACGTTAAACATCAGCGTTTGATACAAGGACTACCTGAAGGAAATCAAACAGCGCGGGCTATAGTAGTTTACATAGACGTTAACGCTGCATTCCAGCGTCGACTAGTATCTACAGCGAATGATCATGTGACAGCAGCGAGCAGAGGCAAGTTGAATGTTGATTCGCGCATAAACACCTGTCAACACTAATCTGAGCCGTTTTTTGATAATGTATTTACTTACCGTATTGTTTTAAGCAGGAATGAGAAGGTAAACAGATGGCGCTTGTTGTCTGCAGACGTCAAGCTTGCTTTGTAAAACACGGTTGTAGCTCCGCCCTGTGGTGAAGGCGCTGGAAATCACGAGAAGACATCAACAGGTGTTGTCAACGGTTAAAGCTTTACATCCCCAAGGAGAGAGCTATCTATCTGTCTATCTATGGTGCTGATAGTGCTTTTGCAATATTGCTTATTAGCAGTGTTGGGAAGGTTACTTTGGAAATGTAATAGGTTACAGATTACAAGTTACCCTATTTAAAATGTAATAAGTAGTGTAACCATTTCAATTACTTTATTAAAGTAGTATAACATATTACATTTGATCAATTTTGGTTCATTTTCTAAATTTCTAACAAATGTTTTCAACTGTTAATCATTTTGAAACATTTAAAGCAGGCAGGGTTTACCTTAGTAGCACTTGACACTGATTACTGTCAGACTTTCAAAATTCTTCATCACTTGAATTAAGATTATAATAATTAAATTTTAAAGCATAGCCACCACAAAATCCGACTTTAGCACCTCTTTTTTTTACCATGAGATCATTCTGAGGTTAAATACAGATTTAAATTCATAAGATACAGTTTAATAGTTGTGACAACACTGGCATCTAACAATGCCTTGGAAAAAAACCCTGTTAATCTTAAAAAATAAAGCATATACATAAACCCAAATAGGAAATAAAACAGTTAGGCTATCGAATAAGCATGTGTCCTACTCTATGTCCTAAATACCTGAAACATTGGTGTCTTGTATTTTAGAGCAGTTTATGCAAGTTAGGAAAGAAATCAAACCTGAATGTGTGTGAAAATATTCATGTAACCCCCTTTGTAATTGTTTTCATTTTCATAAGTAACTGTAATTTAATTACACATTTTTTTTCTCAGTAACTGTAACAGATTACAGTTACATTTATTTTGTAATTAAATTATGTAATTTTGTTACATGTAACTAGTTACTCCCCAACACTGCTTATCAGCCACTCACATGGCTAAACCAGATCTGACCAAAACCTGTTTTCACAAATCTAAAATTAGTTATTTGTTTAAAACCACCTCAAAGAGTCACCTTTGACTCTTTGATAATTTTAAATAAATTGTTTTTATTATTATTATTATTATTATAGTTTCATTATTTATTCTATTCAATTGATCAGGATCCCACCCTGGTTTTCCAGGAAGCAAATGTAGTACATTGCAGTGAGGTCAGACGGTGGTCAACTTTCACTGTTTTCAGGAATATTGGAAGGGTTGAATGACCATTTGATGACTTGAATTTTCGAAAACTTGTACACTAAGCAATCTCCACGAAGATGTTGATCACTAGTCTCAAGTCAGCAGTTTTAAGTCAAACAATTTATTAACACTAACACTGCTCAAAAACCAAATAATGGACTTTAATAAATTAATGACTATTTATGTACAGATTACAGTCTTGTGATAGATAACATGGTATAATGGTCTTCTGGATCTTGATTGTGTCTGTTTGGACAATGCTGGGGCCTGCCTCTTCGTGTTCCTGCATGGTAATCCAGGGTATGTTCATCGAGTAACACATAGGTACAAAATAAATCTGTACCAAATCTGTCCCATATCGATGAGTGTATTCTCCATTATTGCGTATTCCACAGCAAATAGATGCAGATGATGGGTTTAGAAGCACTTGCGGTGGACAATGCTGGGGCCTGCCTCATCGTATTCCTGCTTGGTGATCCACATCTGCTGGAAGGTGGACAGGGAAGCCAAGATGGAGCCACCGATCCATACGGAGTATTTACGCTCAGGTGGTGCAATGATCTGTCAGAATAAGGAGACACAGGAACAGGTTAGTGATGCATTGTTGGGAACGAGACCATGTTAAAGGATAACCACAGATGCATTACCTTGATCTTCATTGTGCTGGGGGCCAGAGCAGTGATCTCCTTCTGCATACGGTCAGCAATACCTGGGTACATGGTGGTACCACCTGACAAGACATTGTTGGCATACAGGTCCTTCCTGATGTCAATGTCGCACTTCATGATGCTGTTGTAGGCGGTCTCATGGATTCCAGCAGACTCCATACCTGTTTAGAAACACCTTATTAATAAAACTAAAAGCTGTATGGAAAATGCAGCATTTTTGAATAGCGTTTGTCTTTACGCACCAATGAAAGAAGGCTGGAAGAGGGTCTCTGGGCAACGGAAACGCTCGTTACCAATGGTGATGACCTGGCCATCGGGCAACTCGTAGCTCTTCTCCAGGGAAGAGGAAGAGGCGGCAGTGGCCATCTCATTCTCAAAGTCCAGAGCCACATAGCACAGCTTCTCCTTAATGTCACGGACAATCTCACGCTCAGCTATAAACAGAGTTTTAATTAAGTTCTAACATACTAACAACAGAACAAATAACAAATAGATGCACCATAATAAAATCCAATACGGACAAGCCTGTGATAATAATATCATGAAAATGTTATATTACTGATGGTAATGGATAATAGGTTTATATAAAAATTCTATACTTTTTAAAAAATAAAACAAACTAAAATCAGTTGTTTTAAATTAAGTTAATTTGGTGATAAATCCACCATACAGTATGAAAAATTTATATAGATTTTGAGATTTGCTAAAAATTACATTTAAGTGTATTATGAAGTCACTAAAGACTAAATAAGTGTTAGATGATAAAGGTAAACATGTAAAAAAAAAATAGGGGAACTGAGCATGCACAATTATCCAATATGATACAAATTCAAAAGAACAGCCTTTATTTGAAATAGAAATCTTTTGTAACATTTTAAATGTCTTGCCACTTGATCAATTTTACATTACTGTCAATTTGATCAGTTTAATGCATCCTTGCTGAATAAAACTATTTTTGTTTCTTTCAAATAAAAGTCTCACTGACCCCAAATGTATTTTCAACATCGACTGGTACAATAAATGTAAAACATTTTGGCCAGTATAACCATTAAGGTACTGAAATATTGTGTATCCCTAAACAAATTCAACAAAAATTTGTTGAAATACACATCTAAAAAAAATCTGTTTTGTTGTGATAAACAGAAGAAAACAAGACCGAAATGACTGTGAAATTGTAAAACTGCAATTTCTCACCAGTTGTGACGAAAGAATAACCACGCTCGGTCAGGATCTTCATGAGGTAGTCAGTCAGATCGCGACCGGCCAGATCCAGACGCATGATAGCATGGGGCAGAGCGTAACCCTCATAAATGGGGACATTGTGGGACACACCATCACCAGAGTCCAGCACAATACCTTAAATATAGTGAAAAAACGGGTCAGAAAAAAAACAGCACATTTTGTTATATACAATAAAATTATTTGTAATTTAAAATAATTGTCTCACCAGTGGTACGGCCAGAAGCGTACAGGGACAGCACAGCCTGAATGGCCACATACATGGCTGGGACGTTAAAGGTCTCAAACATGATCTGGGTCATCTTCTCACGGTTAGCTTTGGGGTTAAGAGGGGCCTCAGTCAGCAGAGTTGGGTGCTCCTCAGGGGCGACGCGGAGCTCGTTGTAGAAGGTGTGGTGCCAGATCTTCTCCATATCGTCCCAGTTGGTAATGATGCCATGCTCGATGGGGTACTTCAAAGTGAGGATACCCCTCTTGCTCTGAGCTTCATCTCCTACGTATGAGTCCTTCTGACCCATACCCACCATGACACCCTGGAAAAAGAAAAAGAGTACTTTTAATGTCACAGTATTTAAATGTTGCAATAGCTTAAGATTACCCATGTGAACGATATTTACAAAGGGCAAAATGCAGCTGAACAAACCTGGTGACGGGGGCGACCAACGATGGAGGGGAAGACAGCTCTGGGGGCGTCATCACCGGCAAAGCCAGCCTTGACCAGGCCTGAACCGTTGTCGCACACAAGGGCGGTAGTCTCGTCGTCGTCACACATCTTGATGGATTCTAATGAGGAACGTATCAGCACACTGTCATGGCTGTTTCTAACTATTTCATGTTAAAGGGGTCATATGATGTGAACATTAAAGCATGTCAACATATTCTGTTACACCAAATACACAAAATAATGATCTTTAAAAAAGCATCATATGACCCCTTTAAAACTGGTGGCTAATTTTATGAATTCTTACAATCTCATTCACACATTTTAGTACGATCTGCTTACACCCACTGATGGTTAGGTTTAGGGGTTGACCGCCATGCTTTATTTCTAGAAATAGATGTTTGTTTCCGTATAAATCACATTGTATGAATTCATACAAAAATCACTACCTTGTAAAGTAGCTATGTTTTCTAATGAGATCAAGTTGAACATTAATAAATATTAGATTGGGTGCAGCTTTATGCAAAAAGATTAATTGAATTAAGCGATTCTACAGCAATGCACTCATCAGTTTATACACTGCATTTCATCATGACATCTTTATTTGCATCCATTTAACAGTATATTAGTCATAATATTTTCTGTCCTTTGAACTTTATTTAATAGGTTTTATGAGTCAGATTCAAGACTCATTTTATGAGTCAGAGAGTTTTTAACTTTATTTTATTCAAAGTTTTTAAAAAGTGCAATGAGGACTGCGCTTACAGCTTTTTCTATTTTAAGGCAGAAATTAAAATGAAATGTTTAAGTTTGGTTGACATTTTTTTACAGTGTACAACAAAGATACAGATGTGCATATTGCAACCAATTAATCCAAATCAATAACCACTGAGCAAGTTAGTGTACTGAGAAAGTAATATTTTAAGTTAACATTTTGTCATATATCTATATCTCTGTGACAACAGTTCTAATATTTTATAGAAGTATTTGTTTTATGGTTCTTGAATGCTGTCACATTAAGTATACAAAGTAGCAACATTGCCAGTGACAACTTCAAAATATACAAATCAACTATACTGAATAAGAGAATTAATTCATTAAAACATTGCTAGGTCATCTTATAACTTATTGCAAACTCATTATTTATATCTTGTATCTTGTTGTCTTCAAATAAAATAGGTTAGTTAGTTGCCATACATTGAATAAAAGTTTTTCTGTTAGTCCGCGTAACTACACTAGTAGCTTATGGGTCTAATGCAGTTGTCTTACCTTTCTGTGATGAAGCTCAGTGCAAAACCGCTTATG